GAAATCTATGAAATCTATGAAATCTATGACAGCATTAAGAGCTTGACACTGACTACTGACATTACAACAGCCAAGGGTGAAACCAACTAAAACCAGAGAAGCTTAGGGAAACATCTAGAAAAATGAAACTATTGAATTGTTCTCAAACAGCTTCAAAGCACATAAGGGAAGCAGCATATGGACCAGGCAGAATAAACAAAAATACGGTGCAAACACCTGCCATTGGAGTTATGGGTCAGGGGCTTCTAATGTCAGATGAACCAGTCATACATATAACATTCTTTATGTCCCATAAAATCATAAAGAAACAATGGCAAGGAAATCTACTCCAGTGGATGCGTGCTTCAGCTACATAATTGTCAAAGTACACAACCAGCTTCCATTCAAGATTATATTATACTACCAGTGGAAAATGACTTTGATATTAAACTGCTTCACCTGACTTCCTTTAAGTGATTTACTTAAACACAGATATAATCTATTAAAAGTAGGCAAATAACTCTACTTATGTTGATGTCTCTAAGTAAAGTCAAGTCAGGGAATAAATTTAATAGACGATTAAAAGATAAGGCATTTGCACTTTTGAGGGCAGTTTCAATTAAAAGCTCTCAACACTCATTAGCAGTATTTGAAAAATATGTTTAGGACTACTTAAAGGCATATCTAGCCCACTTTGGAAAAAATAAAAACCACCGGCAAATTCCTCTCCCAAGTCCACTAATCTAATATCCTACAGCATCTCAGCTTTGCATCAGAATAAATATGGTTGCTCAGCTGTACAATTTGTTATATATTTACAATTTTGAAACACATCATCAGCACACCATGAATGACTGTGTATTTAAAAACACCTGTTTATGACATGGCAGTGAAAATACAAAGCACTAGACCAGAGATATTTTACATATCAAATGTGCAATCACTGAGTCACTTCACCTAGTTTCTGCTGCCTATAAAGTGCCATTTAGGCTGCCTTCATTGTTAATGGGAGTGAAAGCAAAAGTAAGCATATACCACCAGAGAGCAACTTCATCCATCCTAAAATGTACTTCCAATTCATGCAAGATATTCCACCCTTGGCACGTGTCTGGTTACTATAGAGGAAGTCTAATGATTGGCTTTGCTTAGCTAATCCTCATGAAATAGAAGACATGTTCTTTTAACCTAACTGAAGCTGAATATAGGTGAGACGAAGCTTATCCTGTGAGTCTACTCAGGGAAAGTAATTCTGGAAACAACAATTTTAATATTAAGTTTGATTAAAAAATTAGTTTAAGTATGCCTTCTTTGGAAGCCAAATTGGAGCTTTGATCTTGAGATATTCATGGCTTGGAATGAATGAAAATTAAGTTCTTGCCATCAGTTTTCATCTGATACATAGAGTTTAAAGAAAAACAGTACGAGGCTTTTCAACTTGTTGGCTTGGATAAGATTTCTCAGAAGAGAAATTACATTAGTTACATATACTACATCCTGGTGCAAGTAACAATATGCAGAGTATTAAAAAGCAACAGAACAAACAAGATGAGAAAGCTGAGAAAGCTATCTTTATATTATCTTCAAATCTATGCAGACTTTTCTTCTGCAGAAAATAGAGAAAACACTCAAGTACAGTACACAGCAGTACAGCAATTTTATGTCTAGGTATCTCAATCTTCAAGGTCCTGAACTCTGCTACTACAGACTTTTCCTCAAGTTCTGATTTAGAAAACAACTGCAGTTCCTAATTTCTGAATTCCAAATAAAAACCCAAATTCTCATCTCAGATCTAAATACAACATTCCTGCAACTGTAATGGAAGTTATACACACTGGTGTCAAGACAAAATTTGACCTCTGGGCTATCAGAGATCAGTTTGCCTTTGAGAACTGGCCTATAGCTCCTCCAGGGTGTTAAGAAATACCTGTTTCACCATGATGAAATATCTGCACACAGCACCCCTTCTCCCTTTTTGTATCATTACGATTTTTCTGCTCATCTTGCATGATGTCTGCTCACATTGACAGATACTCCTGTTTATTTCACGTAACAAAGTTGGGTTTTTTTTCTACACATAATTACTCCAAAATCCTCTAACTCCTCTTTATCCTACTTCTGAAATGATAGCTACTCACACTGCTCCAAGCACTTCTCCCGTCAACTCATAAACAATGAAGTGTCTGCATGTGCTCAGGTAGTTCCATTTGTGAAAACTGTGAACTCCTGGGCTTCAGTTTACCAGATCTACTTTTAAGATAGAAAGTTTGACTCCTGTTTTCAGTACTAGTACTAGTCACCAGCCATTAGCCTGATCTGACGTAACAGATGTTTCCCCCTTCTATTTTTCTTGTTTAATTATATTGTCTCTAAATCTAGATCAGTCCTATAGTAATCAAGATGCATTTCTGCCTAGAATTCATCTTTTTTTATCTAGTCAGTAAATGCATTTCAGGTCTTCAAATCCTTTCAGCTATGAGAAGTGTACAAAACCTTTTAACTAATCTGATGAGTTAATCACGTAGTCGTATTTTTAAGTAATTCCTCCATCTTTCCCCAGTGATATGTCTGTGATGGGTTCAGACTAATCTCTTGGAGGCGTGGAACAATACATTTCTTGCTGAATTAAACACGCAGTGGTCCTATGGTGCTTCACAGGGTAGCAAACACACATGACACGCAATGATATGCACATTCTTCAGAGAGCTTCAACTTTTTCCCCAACAAATTAAGAAGTAAGCATAAAAAATTACCATATGTAATTCAAAACTGCAAAGACACTCATCTCTTCTGTTCAAGTAATAAAGTCAACTTCTATTACTAAACCTGAATAATATAAACCAGCATGTTTTAACCACATATTTACTTACAAGCACATATACAACTGAAGCAGATTAAGTATTATCTTTAATTTTGTTTCTTCTGAAATTTAAATTTAATATTGATCTACTTTCAACTTTTTCAACATTTGTCTTATATAAGCAAGTTACATTTCCTTTATGCGAATGTAAACCAAAATGTATCTAAAATATAAGGCAAATCAAATGAAAGAAGTCTTAGGAAGCATTGTAATGGCCCACTGAAGAACTGAAATAGCTGGAATGTTGGTGAAACTGTGCTTTTAATTGCAGATAAAGGCGAGAATCAACACAATATCAGCCAGTACAATGCAGACGTGCAGTATGGAGAAATTTCATTGCTTTCATTTTTTGAAATGAATTTTAAAACAGTACTCACCAATTCTTTCCTAAGTTGAATAAAAAACTGTTTGCACTTAAAAGAAATTTTTACAATCTTCAACCTAAATGAAAAATAAAATCACAATATTTAAACTCTTAGCATATTGAATCATGGTTAAAGGCTATAATACATCTACTGAAAATATACATTCTAGAGAGAACAGATTTAATTTCATTTCCAAGAAATTTTGATAGACAAAAAAAAAGATACTAAAGATTATATAAAATAGCTTGTAAAATTTGAAATTTATAAGCCATATATTTAAGTTATCTACCAAATTCACTTCTTTCCAACCTAAACTCAAGGCAGTTTCTAATTTATGTGTCCTTTCCCAGTTCCAAAGTCCAAAGAGCTATTCTATCCCCAGGTCATTCTAACCAGATGTCCTCTTTTCTGAGACCGCTTTCATTATCCCTTAGAACACGAGAAAAATACTTTATCTTCACCTGATTTCTGACAGACATTCTTTCTCTATGTTCTTATATATCTTTACATATAACCAGAACTTGTTTTAGTAAAATAGCTAAGACAAGATATGAGCACAGAGATAAGAACTTGCAATATTGGTATTTATAAAGTCAAAAACCAAACCAAACCAAAAATCATTACACCATGAGGAGGAAAAACATTTAAAATATCACAACAGAGAATAATCAGCCTACAGATCTTTTCATCTTGCAGGTTATCTATAAATATACGAGATGCTGACAGTAATTCCAGCCAATTTTTGATGGTCACTGCAATGCTAGTTATGGTAAACAGCAAAAGACAGGCCATATTTGCATTACAATCTAATTATACACTTTTTCAAAGAACTCCACTATTAGGATAATGCACATCCTTTATTAAACATACAGGAGTATTATTTTGGTCAAGAATATAAACAAGGTCACAATTGTAACAAGAAAAAACGTAGTAACTTCTGTGACTTTGACAAGAAACAACTGATAGGATACTGCAAACTGCAGAACACTAAATTCAAATGCTATCTCACTCAAAGGAGATTTCACTGACAATTGGCACGAAACTCAAAGCAAAAGAGAATCTAGATCACACAGTTAACTTGTGGGAGATCACACAGCAAACTCTTCGCGGGTTACAATCAACCTTTTACATAGTATGTTTATACACAGCACCCTTGCTAATCTGAACTGTCATCTCTGATGGTCCCTGGACTTCCAATTATTATATTGGTTTGGTAAAGCCACACAATAAAGAAAAAAACCCAAACAAACAAGCAAACAAAATCAATCAACAAAACAAAACAAAAAAGTCATGTCAGTAAAGATATAGTGCTACAATTTTTGAGATAAACTTATTCATGAAGTATACACAGGGATCTCAGTAGTGACTGGAATTACTACTTGCATATTAACCATCTTGTTGAATAAAAACCCTCTAGACTAGGAAGGATGAGAAGCAAAACATTTACAGACACTTAAGTTGGATATCTATATATAGAAACTTCTTAACGAAATCAAATGGAGACATTTTTCTCCAGGGGATTATTCAGAGTAGGAACGTAACTTGGATGTCCTAATTTGTTGTGAGAGTTTCTATCTCCAATAACATAAAGAGAGTTTGGAAATATTAATCTTTAAATCATGCTTATTTAAATATTTTGCCATTTCTTTTGCTTTCCTAGCTTTACCATTAGTTTTTAAAAAAAAAAAAAAGCAGCAGCTCTAACTTTGTCCTCATTGTTGGGGTGGTTTGGGGTTTTGTTTGTTCGTTTTTTCAATTCTCTAACAAATTGTTGCTATTGAAGTTAGTTTCTCAAGGTTAGAGACTATAAAGGGGACTCCAACTTATCTACTGAAATCAAATTACTCCATTGGCAATGCAGGAATTTTCTTAGCACCTCCTGTGACACACAATTGCTTAAGAATAATTAGGGATGTGTTCTAAAATTGCTTGATGAGAGAGACACTAGTGATTATAGCAGACTGGAAAAAACATGAAAAAATTTTATTAGACTATTTAGGCTGCAGTTAACCAGAAGGATGTTACGATTAATTTTGTAAAATTTTGGGTTACAGAGCAATTTAAAAAACATTTTAATATATACATTTTCTAAAAGCTGAACTGTACATACTCTATAACATATCAGATATGCATAGCATGCCAACAGAAAAACTGAAAATAAATCAAAATAATTCCATTTGTAAAAACAGTCTACTACTTTTTACACTTTTCTTTCCCCTCTTCTGCTGAAGAAATTACTGCCTTTGATGATTCACAGACTCAAGGAGAATGACAAGGATGAAAGCTGTCCAAGTTTTTTTTGATCTCACCCCATAATCTAGGCGGAGTGAGGTCAGCTGCCTTTTAAGCCCGAAACCATTTGGAACAGACTGAAAACTGCAACATTAGCCAATAAGGTCCAACTCAACCCATACGAGTCACCATTCAAGTACAAAGAAATGACTCAGCGAAGCTGAATCTCAGCAATTTTTGAAAAATACAGCAGATAAGAGAGTTCAAATGCACTGCTAATACCCTGCTACTCATTAAATAAGAACATTCATACTCGGCCAAAGCAAAAGGCAGGTCTGTCGATGTTTCCTTTCTCTGATGGCTGGCAATGGTGCAAATCCAAGGAAAAGGGTAAGAACAGGCAGCCATCAATAATATTTTCTTGGTACAATTTTCCAGTCTCCAGTCATCTCAGGCATCATAAATCATAAGATATATCTTTTTAAATGAAGAGAGAACTAAAAGTTCTAGTCTAAAGCGAGGATTGTACTCAAACACACGGAAGGAGTCTCGTGATATCAAACCCTGGTTCTCACTAAGGACTTCACCATCCCAACACTCGCCAGGAGGGTGGTAAGGAAGGACACAAGCAATCCAGCAAATTTCTTCACCAAGACTTCTTTGACACAGGTTCTGGACCAGTCAGCTAGGGAAGATGAGTATGAGATGCTCTTGGTAGCAGAACTCACAAACAAGGAAGGATTGTCCAGATGAGTATGAGATGCTCTTGGTAGCAGAACTCACAAACAAGGAAGGATTGTCCAGATGAGTATGAGATGCTCTTGGTAGCAGAACTCACAAACAAGGAAGGATTGTCCAGATTTAGTACTCAAAGACAAACTTGGCTCCAGCAACTGAGAGATGGTGAAGCTAAAGGTTCTAAGGAAAGCGAGGACAGATGCAGCAGACTAAACAACCTTGGAGTTCAGGAGAAGAAACTCCAGCTTGCTCAGAGCTCTGGTAGGCAAAATCCCTTGGAAATTGCCCTTTGGGGCACAGGAACTGGTGAGAGGTGGCCAATCTTAAAGGACAATCCTATCAATCCAGAACAATCCCGATGTGCTAGAAAACATGCAAGCATGGGAGGAGGTCAACTTGGACGAACTTGGAACTGCTGTCTAAGCTCAAACACAAAGGAAGTGTACAGGATGCGGAAGCAGGATCTGATGACCAAGGAGGAACACAGAAGTACTACCTAGGCATTCATGGATAAAACTAGAAAATCCAAAGTGCAACTGCAGTTGCAACTGGCAATGGATGCAAAATCCAACAAAGCTTTCCAGGGGTCCATCAACTGTAAAAGAGGCAAAGGAAAGCATGTCTCCACTGTTGGACACGTGATCTAGCAACAAAGGAAAGGCTGAGGTACTCCATGCTCTTCTCCTTTGGTCTTCAAGAGCAAGATCTACGCCCCGAATTCCCAGGTTTCTATGCCTGGTAGCACAGTTTGGGGAAAAGAGGAACTACCCAGAATACAGGAAGATCAAGTTAGAACACACCGGATAAAAGGCAATCTCCTTTGTTTTCCCTTATTACTGCCTTGTCTCCCTCCTATTTGATTTCTGCCCATGATCATAAGGTTCGTAATATGCAATTTAGATACAATATGAAATTAAGAGGAGGAGGGCAAAGACATTTTTCTTGATTCTTCTCTGAGCAATACAGTTAAACTTATATTTCTTCCCACATACACACGTCTGCCCTCTCACTTCTCTCAAAACTCAGCTCAGGAGTACTGAAAAAGGGATATCTAAACATATACTGTAGCCATATAGCACTGGGAAGACATTACACAGCTCTAGTTGCACAGGAGAAAGAGTAAGTGGAAGCAAGAAGAAAAAGTATCAGTACTGGTGTCACTGGAGCAGCTGCATGACTATGGATGAAAAGGAAAGATAACAGGTTTACTATTGAGCTATATTGTGAGAAATAACATTTCAGATCCTTACTCATACCAAAAGAAAGCCTATAATAGGACGAAATGGGGGGGGTGGGGGGAGGTGGTTTATTTGGGTGTTTTTTGTAAAGAGCAATTATGTTGGTACTATAGTCTTCACAGGAAGAAACTAATGTCCCTGATGTGAGTTGATATGGTTGAATACAAAGAAGAATTGTTTAGGTAATTCCACACACACAAAAACCACACTAAGAATTTAGATCAGCAACCCTGGCATGCAAACAATACGAAGCAGAGCTCACAGAAAGCTCTACCTTCCAGCAGGGACATGTAGCTTAATTATGACTTACATTGTACATACTCAGTAATTTACCAGTGTGTTTTATAGAACCTATTTCTACTATTACTGTTTTCTCCAAAAAATAGCAGTAAAAGCAGCCTGAATTAAAAACCTTCCTGATTATTTTAGCATTGCATTTGTAAAGCAGCCTTAACCCAGCAATGGCTCTACCACGTCAAAACTCTTACCAGATAAAGGATATCTTTCTTAGAACGTGTCACTACTATACAGACAGGTCTGACTGACTAGTATGGTAGTTCCAGACTTACCATTGCAAGATCCTGTTTTAATTTACCCAGCTAACCACGGAGACTGAAAATTTACATGCTCCATAACTGCCTCAGGCTTCCTTTTCTTTCAAAGCTTACAGGCAAACACCATGCTCAATTGTATCCGGCTGTGGATAACACTTATGTCATAGCTTTGTCTGGCTCTCTGAAAAGTCTACTAAAATTTGACCATTCACACTGTTTCTCAACATGGTAAACCACAGAATACGTAACATCCTACAACAAATTTGAGACTAAGCTTAGCACAGAAACCCAGAGCGTCTCAGAAATTCATTCGGTTGCAGGAAAGATCAAGACTATGAGTAACATCTTGAATCTCTGCAAGGGAACTTAGTAAGTGAAAACATCACTGACTATAGGTAATGGATCTTACCCTGTGCTAACAGAAAACAACAAAAAACCCAAGGATTTCAACTGCTCGTATCAGTTGGGATTCAGAGAAAAGTTCTTCCAGTTTCGATTGTGGCAATCAATTTAATCCGTGTATATGAAGATGACAGACCAGCCAAGAACTTTTTTCTAAAGTCCACTGCTGCACTGCCCAAGCACACACGTCAGTCGCAAATGAAAATGCAAAACTTTTCATCATTTTTCTAGAGCAAACAGCTTTTGTGCCTGCTAAACTAATGTCTATTATGACACCTTTACATGGCTGACTTGGCCCACTCAGAATGCTGCTACGGCATACTCGACGACATACACAATAAGTAAGGCTGTCAAAGTGGATTCCAAGCAGGCAAAGGAAACCAAGGAAAAGTTACTTTTGAAGGAACTAAAAAAAAGCATTGGAGAAGGTGACATAACTTCTGTAGAGCACTACAGAAGTTATAGAGCACTTCTATATAGCACTATAAAAGTTATAGTGCAGAACAGGATTTCTCTTGAGATCTTTCCCCTTCTTATACAAATAAGAACAAGATCCCAATTTAAGAAGATTGATAACTAGAGTAACATATTTAATGAGGATAACTATATATTTACAGAACAGCTTTAAAAACTATTTATTTAAGAGGAGAAATAAATAACAGTATTTTCTGCAATAAATGCACTTTTTTGATCCTTATCATGAAAACGGTTATCTACGGATGAAGAGATGAAAATATCCTGAATGATCCACCTAAGCTATCAAGTGCCATACCTACATTAAATTTAACACACACAGAGCAATTAAGTTCTATGTGACAGAACAGATAAGAGTAATTGCTCTCCAGCTTAATATTTTTAAGTTCAGTTATCTCTTTAAAGACTGTGAGCTAGACCATAACACTGGCCCTGGCCATACAGTTAATTAAAACAAATTATACTTAAAAACTCTTGAGAAAAAGAATTGTATTAGAATTCATTATAGTTTGCTCCACAATCATTGAACAGCACAGCACACAGAATAGGGCAAAATTCCATCATAAAACTACCCATAGCACAGCATGAGGCAAATAATTCGAACTTCATATGATACAACTAAGTTTCAGTCTTTTTTAAAGTGTGTGACACCGGTAGTGGTAAAAATATGTTTTGAAATATCAAATAATAATATTAGCTTGAAGAGCTGTCCTTACCACTGAAAGGTGTTAATTCGTACTCTGTTCTTAAAAATTAGTATTCCACCTGACATCACTCCAATCATTATTTCATTGTTACTCTGATCCTTTAAAAGAAAAGAGAAAATTACTTGAAGAGCAATATAAATATCTTTGAAACCTCATATATATTCATTCCCATCTCTCTCTCTAAATACACAAATACCATAGTAAAACAGATCCCAATTAACACGGAAGAAAATGTGTTTTAATAAGACAAGTAAGAACTAAATTATTAATTCCTATTTAGGAGAAGCCCGAATGTCTGCTCCGAGTTCGTTTTAAGCTACTACAAAATTTTAATGTCTTATGTCAGGTCTTCTGTCTTCCACCAGCTTCGAAGAAATATACAACAGAGTATTCTAGCAGTTTATTACGAATAACAGCACTAACAGACTGGCTTGATGTTTGCTATACTAAAAGCACCAGCAACTTAAATTCCTACCTGAAAGGAAATTGCAATCTCAGAACACAGAGAGGAGAGATTCTAAAACAAACAATATTGTAAGCATATTTAAATAGCACATTTTTCCTGGAATACCTTTGCACTCTAATCAAACACCTGCTACAGACCCCTCAATTTGTGTGCAACAACAGCCTGATACAGAAAGTGGGGAAGTGGGGTACATTTCCAATTCTATTGCAAGTTTCTCTAACCTTAGGAAGTAGGACAAGAATATTTACAAAACAGAGATGTCTTAGTTATTAAGAATAATTGCATTCAGAGCCTTTGCAGAAATGGTAGCACTATCCTGACAGCTTAAAATCATTTGAGTCAAGACCTCAAACTACTTGCTTTACCAGGTAAAACTGACACTGTATCAAAACATGGTATATTCATCTTACATTAACAGTTCACATTATATGATGATATATAATTATAAAATAACCAAATTAAATATTTTTCCAGGCTGACAGATCCTTAAATATCAAAACCACATTCAACAAGTACATTTTTCTTATTGACCAGCAGCCAATTGAACTGGCATTCAAGCCAACAAGGCTCAATCTGAATAGGACACATATAACTAAGCCCAAACTTAAGCACAGAAATATGCTCACTAGAGTGAAATAGTGGCTATTGAAATTGGTAAATCACAGTCAGGCACCTAATAAGATAACATTATTTTCTTTTTTTTTTCCTCTTGTTAGCAGCAGCCATGAAGGTTCCCCAAAAATACCTCAGAGGAATCCATTTTTACATTACAATACTAGTTCATCCAAACTTACCCTTGCATAGTGCAATTCAACTCCATAAAGTTCTAAGGTACGTGCTGTATTGAGATAATTGAACTCAGCTTCTGCAGGAGACAGCCCACTGAAAGAAAGAAGCTAAAATCAGAAGCATTCTAACACAACCCCCCACATCAGGCTCCCTAGTGAGCTCAAACAGAAAACCTTCATTTGGTTTACTCCTACCCCCACCCTGAGGTCTGAATTTCCTTTCTCACCAAAAACAGACTGTAACCCAAAAATTTTAACAGGAAAAAACTTGTGCTTCCACACAGACAAAGTCTTCGCAAGAGTCTGCAAGACGGCTTGCAAACGCATGCGCTTGATTTCTAACGCGCTGCATCATTTAAATGTTTGTGGAGCTCTAGAATCTGGAAATTACTTTCGCAGTCCCGTATTCTGTATTGATAACAACAATTTCTCTCCAAGGCTCACCCTTAAAGTTTAAATTACCGTCAACTCACTTTAACTTCTTTACCCTACCTAACAGAATTTGCTAAGCCAGTGACTGAAATGTAACGTAACATTGAGCAGTTTCTAAAGTCAACAACATGTCCCAATTAAGCAAATGGTTTTTGTAAACATAGCTTACATTTTGTTAAATTTAACTGTAACAAAAAGCACTTAAGTTCCAAAATACCAAGGAAGGATCACTGAAAAAGTACCACAATGTTACATACTGAAAAAAAAAAAATATTTTCCATTGCTTCATTGCCTTTTCCTCTTTAGCAAAAGGTCACAGACTTGCACACAGGAAAGAGCAGATACTGAAGAAAAGGACTTTGTTACTTCTAAAGTAACACTTGTTCACTGGTGAGAGCACCATGAAAACAAAGCCTTTATGCACAGAGCATTCTCAAAGACTGAAGAAAACTCGTAATGAAATTATACCCTGCTAAGTTAATATTCCATGTAATACATACATATCCTGTTTCCAGTGTACCTTTAACATACTCATGTTTTCACTCCTTTTTCCTGTCATTCTGTCATAGATATTATATCTGTGCAGGGTATCAATGGTACTTACTATACAAACAATCTACAAAAAAAATCACATGAAACGTACTCTTAAAAAAAACCCAAAAACCACCCCAGAAACCTTTAAGACAAAATACTCATTTTTTTTATATAATAGCACAGCACCAGCAGTCAGGATTTGACAAAGTCAGTCAATATCATCTGCTATAAATCCTTACATGTGCTGCTGATGTAATTTTGCTATTTCTTTTTCAAAGTCTTGAGGCTGGCTAGGGATGAAAGAATAGTCTGAGAGGTAGCCTGGCAAGTTTTCTGAATGGTTGTAGTCTCCCAGCTCGGCTAAAATATTAAAAAGAGAGGTTATTGTTTATCACTGATGTACGTGGCATTGTGCAATGCCCCCAAATTCACAAGAGTCTGCTCCCACATACTTTACGACCTACAGCAAACAAAAACAGAGAAGACATTTGAACTCCCCTTTTCCCTTTTGAATAAACAGTCACATTCTCAGTGAATACTGTGGAGATACTTAAAAAGAGCTTTGAGTAGGTACTTACGAAGGAAGTTTATAAAGTGTTTAATTTTTAATACACAAAGTAATACATAAATGCTGTCATAATGGCTAACACTAAATACTATACTTCAAGGCATTTGATTTTTGTCTGTCTTCATTTTACCTTTCCTTGCTTTCATGTGATTACATAATATATATATTTTTAACACTACAACTGCTATTTCTTCATTACGATCTGCAAAACCCACCAATTCATTCTGTATGAAGAGATATTCAGAAGCATTAGAAAAATATTTTTTTGCACATTCAACTGTATGTATGGAAAAAATATGCATACATACACCTACATTGAAACTACCTTACTTGAAACTACTAACAAGTGCATACATATAATTTCTAACATTTTCTTAAAATCGTAAGATACAAATTAAAATCACATTTATTGTCAAAATAGAAAACATACAAAAAACAACATTTGCTAAAAATACAGGCTTTGAAGCTTTCTAACTATAATCCGAAAAAATGTGGCTTTAAGTATCTGCAATCCATGTAACAGACCTACAGCGACAGTTAAGTGACGTCACACGTGAAAACTGGGAAGTTCACAGCAACACAGCATGACGTGGGGTCCACTGTCCTACTGACACTTCTACGGGGCGCAGAAGAACTGACAAGAGGGATTAAGGCACTCACAGAGGGGGAGAATAAGCAAGGGAAGGGAAGATAGGAAAGCAGTCTGGGGCACTGGCATCACAAGAAACAGCTCCTATTTTAAATGATTTAAAAATTGAAAAACGGGACCAGGTTTCATAAAAGAGTGCATGCCTTGCTAAAAGCCACCACAGAGAACACACGGCTGTGAGAGATCCACGTCTGCTATTTAGATGTGTTTACAAAGAATCCCAAGAGCTAAACTCAGAGGGAGCTTAGTAGCAGGCGTGCACAGGAAATCGTTAGGCAGAGGTCTAACGAACTTGGTCTAACAGAGGTCTAACTTCAGAACTGAAGGGCAGCGGGATCTCATACGTAAAGGTAAGCACTGTGCGTACCCACCACTTCTACAACACTTGAAAAACAAACATATCGCATTCTTAAAAGCTTAAAACATTATAATTTTTTCATAGTGCCTGCTTCATTATCAAATACTTCATCTCTTCCACGGCAAATCCCTAAGGCATGACAGCACTTGCAGTATCTATAGCTATAGATATTGCTATATTGGTTTCCAAGTAGCTAGAGTTAGGGAATTTTGTTTAAGAGAAGCTGCTCTATTGATTGATCTGGGAAAAGGTGAATGCTTACCAAAACCATGCATAAAACATTATATTAACATTACTACATGTTTTTTCCCTGAAAATATTAACATGGACACTATTTCTCTGATATGTACAAAGTATATATAGTACTAAATGCAGATATAATTACATTTAATAGCAGAAAACCACAGGAACATAGATGGATGTATCAGGATTGCTTATAAAACTGAATTCCAGACAATCATAAATTTCAAGAACTAAGAGCTGAACAGTCTCTTTCTTAGTTGGTTGGTTGTTCTGGGTTGTTTTGTTTTTTTCTACTGAACAATTTAAGTTTATGAAGGAAAACAGGGAGAGAGGAAGAGGACTAAATTTCAGTATTCAAGACTTATCTGCTTACTGCATGGCCTAAAATTGACAACATGGGTATTGAACTTTTTGGCCCAATATGACCAGAATTCTATTTTCCACACCTATTTGGAGGTTCATTGTATGGTATGTTAGAAATGTTAAAAATGTTTAAGTGGCTAAAAAATATTTTAGTATTATTCTCAAGAAAAAAACCCAACCCCACGCTTCAGAATACAGAGAAATACAAGAGGGTTGTTTTGAGTTTTTTTAACTGCAGGGGTTTAAAGGAGGAAAGCAGAGAGCGTTACCAATATTTTTTCCATATGTAATTCAACAAAACATGCTGGAGGACAAAAACCAATCAACCACCTTTCCTTAGTCATGAGAAAAGTAGCATCATGTCCACAAACATCACAATGTAATGCCACACAAACTACACTCTTTAGAAACTAATCGGCACTACTTTTTACATATTTCAGTACTAAAGTGTACCTGAATACCAATTATACTTACATTGAACAGCAAAGGAAGCCAGAAGAGCAGCAGTATTATAAGGGCAGGGCAATCTGTTTTGTTGTTAAAATGAGAAACAAATAACATTACATATTTCACATAAAATTTGGTTATTTTGAAAAGCCTAATCTTTCATAGTTTATGAACAAACTGGACAGATAATTATTATAAACACTTCTACTTGTGTAAACAGTAATTTAATTCAAATATATGTTTTATTTTTGCAGGTAAAATCCCCCACCATTAATTTCTTCTCAACAAATGTTGCATTTAATGTTTAATACAACAAAAATGTCTTACCTTCCAGTAAGAATGTCCTGTTTAATTTGCAAAAAATACTGGTACCTTATTTAAAAAACAAAACCAAAAACTATAATTAAAAAAAAAATTATATCATAGTTTTCCATCAATTTAATGCATTTTGCTTTCAGTTAGTGCAAAACTAAAACTTTACATTTTGCATGCTATTTCTTAAACTCTTAAGGGAAAGAAATTAAACTATGATTAGTAAAATAATAATACAACTTTGTAAATTAAACTAATTACAGGCTATGATGTTATACATTATCTTTCACTAAAAGGCTGCAAATTTCACATTTTACCTGCTTTACTTTCCAGTATTTATGTTAAACTTCATAAAAAGGAAAAAAGTGCCTTCATGATGAATGAGTGTGAACAACAGAACCATTCAATATAGCAACCAAAAGTTGAAGTTTACATCTGTGTATGGAGGTACATTAACAAGAATCATTTGTACTCCAGGTAGATAAAATTAATTTATTCTCATTGAGTATGTGACATTACTCTTTTCATTTAAATAAAAATAATCACTCTTAGTATTTCAGAGATACATTCTTAAATAAAAGTTGTGGATTCTACTATGTCAAACACCTTCCGACTGTCTTCCCTTGAACTTCTGAAGTTTTCTTTAAGTATGATGTGAGAAAAGCTTGCTTTAGAAATTCATCTAGTCTTCCCATGCCCACTCTTTCAAGTCAGGAAGGAGATGGAAACAGCAAAAGGAACAAAGGAACACTTTAAAACAAGAACTATTTCCCACTAAACAGTGGCAGCAGAAACACTATGACTTAAAAATCCCAAACCTGAAACCACAAACAGACTTCCCTCTAAACTACCTCTTTTGTAACCTAAATATTTTGTTAATGTCTCAGAATGAATCTTTTGTTCATTCAATTTAGTTCCTTCATATTTCACTAAAAGGTTTTACACAATTTTGAAGAAGTATAAATGTTTATATCAAGTGGCAAATCACACCTGCTATAAACCTCTACTGACAGAGACTGAAGTGGGATAACAAACAAGACTTACTGAGATGGCAGGATGTTAGCACAAGCTTAAACTTCTAGCAAAAACCCTTTATAACAAGGCCTAAAAGCAGCTGTAGAATTTAGGCTCTAATGGCTTTTCATTTT